GGGTGCTGACTGAGGTGCCCTTCACACCCACCTTTAAGCACTGCCCTGAGAACGGGGGGTAGTGGCAGCACCCAGCCCTAGACATCCCAGTGATCCCAGTGCCCTTCCTGCTCTGCCCTGAGCTGCATCCCAGGAGAGAAACACCCCGGCACTGAGTGATGTGGGGCTGTCCCTGCTTCCCACACACCCTGCACTGCACAGCCAGGGTGTCCCTGGGCCCTGGGCTCTCTCCTGCTGTGACACATCTTGCTATTGCAATTTTGGGCATTGGCCTTGACACCTGGGCTCTTTAGCTGGTGTTTGGTGTCTACCCCAGCAGGATGTTCCCACATGGCCCTGCCCTGAGCTCGGCACCTCTCACTGTCAGGTGCTCCTACAGAGGACAGGGTTGGGTTTCCTGCCTGTTCTGAGCCACAGCCCTGACTGCAGTGCCCAGCAGCCCCTGTGTCCCATCCCTGGGAGGGAGCTGGAGCCCTGGGGATGGTGTGTGCTGGCTGGACCCGGCTGCTCACTGCATGCCCAGCGTGGCACATGGGATGTCCCCTGCACTGCACATCCCAGGGCTCCGTGTTCCCCAGTTTCTGACCACCATCTGAGTGAGACTCAGCCCTCTCCCCTGGGTCAGCACTGGCCCAAATCACACTCAGGGTCTTGAATCGAGCCCAGGACAGTCCCCAGTAGCCCCCCATGTGCCCTGAGGACACTCTTGTGTTGCTCCTTTCTACTGCACCAACCCCTACCCAGTTTTCACCCCACACACCCGACCTGCCCGGCCCCTGGGCAGGGGCTGCTTTACCTCTGCAGGCTGCAGCCATCCTGGGAGGTGGAGAAGAGCAGCAGAGGGGGGAAGAGGGAGAAGCGCTCAGGAATCCAGGACCAGACGAGGCGCATCTCCTGAGCCGTGACGATGCTGGAGCTGAAGTTCTGCATGTCCACGGCCAGGTGGAAGGACTGCCTGCACGGGAGGATGGACATTGTGGGGCCTGTCTGCTTTTTGGGGTGCAGCCCCTGAGGGGCTGGGAGGCCCCAGCGCAGCCAAAGCCACGGGGAGTCCCTGAAGCTCCCCCCGTGTGTCTCCACAGTAGCTCACATTTTGTCTGCTCAGCCCCACGAGCTGGCAAAGGGAGAGGTCTCCTTACCTGCTCTGCACCATGGTTATGCCCCTCTCCATTAACGCCTTCCTGTTGGCCATCTGGAGCAGCCAGATTTCCTTGCGGGAGAACAGCCGGATGCCAAAGGCTCTCTCCAGGAGTTTGTCGACAGTCACGTGCTCGGCAATGTTCTGCACGAAAGCCTGCAGGTCTGCCTTGATGTCAGTGCCCTCCAGCTGGGCCGAGCTCCCCGAGAGCCTGAACTGCTTCAGCAGGGCCAGGGCGATGCGGTACAGGACCTTCTGCCCCTCCAGCAGGAACACGTCCAGGACACGGACGGCGTAAGCGAAGGGCAGGTCGTGGAAGAGCCACGACAACCACTCCGAGTAGACCTCAAAGACGTTGTCGGAGGCGCCGGCTATGAGTTTGTGAGCTGCTGGGCAGTGCTTGTTGGCCAGGTCCCCAAAAGTCATGCAGGAGGCCTGGTGGGCCAGGAAGGACTGGTCAATGTAGCTGGTGTGGGGAGCGTTGCTGGCGAGGAGGCGAGAGATGCTCTCGAAGCACTGAGCTTCGTCCTCGCTGTAGTGCAGCAGCAGCGCCACCAGGGAGGGCAGGATCGGGCTGTAGGTTATGTCAGGGAAGAGGTTGCCCACACAGATGAGGATCCTCTTCAGGGCGGTGACCCCTTCCAGGTTGAGGCAGTACGTGGGCATGGGGCACCCCTCCAGGAACTCGGGCAAAGGGTGGGAGCTCCCGCTGGGCTTCCCGAAGAGCCGGCTCGCCACGTCCCTGTAGACCAGAGCGTCGGGGGTGACGAGCCGGCAGGACACCTGCTGGATGAGCTGGTGGTAGAGCCGAGCCCTGAGGGCGTGGCTCGTGGCCCAGCAGCCTTCCCTCGCCAGCTTCTTCCAGCTCCTTCCGGGGCTTGCTCAGGATGTCCCGGGGGATCTGTGCCGGCCGCTGCGGGTCCGGCATCCTGTCCCAGTCCACGAACTGTCCACAGCCCGGACAGGAGGAGGCGTCGGTGTCCCAGGTGTCAGCCTCGGATGTGACCACGATGGTGATTGGAGATGAGCCAAACGCCTCTGTAGGATAAAAACCTTTATTCAACACTCTCCCTGCCCCAGCCAACAGCGTTTCACCCTGGCTGAGGGTGCTCTGAAGTCTTACAGCCACGTCCTGTATTTCTTTATTCTCCCCTGCAAGGGGAAGGTTCTCAGGCTTTGTCTGGCTGGAGCTGCTTGCCTTGCCCTCTCCTGCTCCCCTCGGCTCAGGACCCTGGGGAAGCTCAGGGCCAGGTCCCATCTGGGTGTCAGGGCTGCTTCTCCCACCGTGAGGGGCTTTGTACCCCTCAAAAATCTCCTGACTTCCCAGCTTGTGACCTGCTGAGTGGTAGATGCAGAGAGCAGGGACAGTCCCTGTCCCCGGGATGTCCACAGGACGTCACACCACCGAGGAGGACGAGCAGCTCAGTCCCAGCCCAGCCCGCAGGGGCAAGGAGGGACCTCATGGGCAGCAGAGCCCAAGCGATGCTGAGGCCGAGAGGGACCATCGGCATCGTGTCCCCTCCCAAGGCCAGCGCGGGGCAGGAGGGTCCTGTCCGGGTCGGGCAGCTCAGGACGAGGCTGATCCGAGCCCAGGTAGAGGGAGCAAAGCCGCCCTCGGGTGTTTGCCCTCCTCCTGCTGCCTCCTGCCAAAGTGTCCCGACCCCTCCGGCCGCTCGGGAGCCGGAGAGAAGGGGCGAGGAGAAGGTGCTGCAGCGCCAGGGGCTCGCCGGGGTGCGGGGCTGCTCTGAGGGGTGCAGAGGGTCCCTGTTCCCCGTGTGCCCCACGCACCTGGAGAGACCCCGATCGGGGACCGCTCGCAGGGACTGGGGAGCACCTGAGAAGCCCCTCGGGGACAGAAGGTCCCCATCGGGGAGGCTCCCGCACACAGCACAGGGCAGGGCTCGGGCAGCCGCCAGCCCAGCTCCGGGAAGAGCAGAGCCTGAGCTCCTCCTAGAGAGGCGGCAGCGGCATTTCCCCGGGGCTGCGGGACAGCTCGGCTCCAAACCCTGCACGGGAGACGGGAGCTGTCCCGCCTGGGTGAGCTCTGCTGGGCAGGGATTCATTGGCAGCGATAAAGTCAATTAACACACGTTAATTCTCGGGTGTATTTGTCTCGGATGTGCTGAGGTGCCTGGGAAGTCACGGATGGATTCGCACCGAGCCAAACCTCTGCTTTGGCCCCGAAGGGCCACGGGGGGACAACACATGGTGGCACATCGAGAGGGTCCTGACGCCTGGGCTGGGTCCGGCTCTGGCTCTTGCTCTCCAGCTCAGTTTGGCCCCTGCTCGAGGTCAGGAGGACCAACAGATCGGGTTCAGTGCTGGTTCAGGGAAGGGGCAGCAGTTTGCTGCGGTGGCTGCTCATCCTGACTCCCTGCCCTGGAGACATCCCGACCCCAGCACAGTCCCGCAGGCTCCTGGCCACAGAAACCAGGCTGAAACAACACCGGGGCTGAAGCAGGGGCTGTTTGCCCCCCGCGGTCCCCAAATTCACCTCTTCCTCTCAGCCGTGTGCCCTGCCCGGAGCCCTGAGGAGCATCACCCCGAGCCCACCCGGCCCCCGGTGCTGGCTGGTGGCTCCAGCTCCGCCCGCCCCGGGACAAGCCCGGCATTGGGGCAGGGACTGTGGCTCTGCTCCAGCCCCTCTCCTCTGCTCCAGCCGCTGTCCCCGCTCTGCTGGACGTGTCCCCGGCCCGAGCGGGGCCGTCCCGCACTCACCTCGCCCGGTGCCCGTGTCCTCGGCCCCGGCCCGCTCGGCCCTGGGGAAGGCCCCGGCCGCCCCCCCGGGGGAGCCGGGCAGGCTGAGCCCCACCCGCAGCATCGCCCGGGTCGCCTTTGTCCCCGGCACCTGCCCTGACTTTTAAGGCGAGGGCACCGGGGGTTTATTTGGAGTAAACAGAGCGAGGGGTGGAGCAGCTCCCGCGCCCGCGTCGCCCCTTCCTGCCCCAAATCTGCACCGAGGCCGGGCGGGGATGGAAACACCCCACGGAACGAGATACCATCAAACAGCAACACGGCCACTAAACCGAATCCTTTATTTTTCCCACGGATAACCTTCATCTTCCCGCTCCGGGGCTCAGGGGCAGGAGGTGCCGCGGGGCCGAGGGGGGGCCGGGGCTGCGGCCGCCGCCCGTCCTTGAACGAGGGAAAGGCAGAGCGTGGGTTTGGAGCCGCTTCCCGCTGGATGGTCCCGGGGGAGCCGGGAAGAGCGGCACGTGAGCAGCAAGTGCCAGGAGCCGGTGACAAGGAGGGGTCGGGACCACGAGGAGCCAGTGCCGCCCTTGGGACGCTCCTCGGGGCTGTGCCGGCCGTGTGTGCGGGGCGGCTTCAGCACAGCTCACCAAAACCACCAGGCAAATTTGGGGCGATGTGCCCGTGCCCCCCACAGCCCCCCGCCCCTCCCGCCCGCCCAGCGGGAGCTCAGACCGCGACTGCTGCAGGCACAGCTGTGGTGCTGCAGCGTTTCCAACCTGCCCCCGGGAAAGGGTTGTTATCGATTGACTTTCAGCCTCAAAACGCCTTGCAGAGCTACAAACCCTACGTTGTGGTCACAGTTGAAGGAAAAGTCCTCTCCAACAGCTGGGAGATGCTCCCAGCACATCACCCCGATCTGACATTGCTGCTGGAGAACTCACAGCTCAGGCTGCACTTTGTGTGCATATTTACAGATTTTTAAAGATTTTTATTTCCCTTTAAAATCCTGATATTTTCTGTCGTGGTAAGAGCAACTGCAGGTTGTTCCTGCCCTGCCTCCCTGCCTGCAGGTCCGTCTGCAGCACATCCCTGAGCATCCACTGGCACTGGTGGTCTCAGGGCATCTCCCGAGCAAGTGCAGCCCCTCTGCAGCCCCTCGGCTTTCTGGATGAGGCACCTTCTCCACCGTGTGCCAAAATCTGTTGGGAGCAGCACGGCTGTCCTGGCATCCCTCTCCTCCCTCTGCTCCTGATGAGCCTGGAGCCCGAGGCAGTGGGAACGAGGGGCTGTGTCAGCAGGACCCCCCAGGGGCTGTGTCAGCAAAGGGCCCCCCAGGGGCTGTGATGGGTGGGAGGGAGGCAAGGGGTTCTCCCAGTGGGAGGTTCCCAATCTGCACCCAGAACGTGCCTGGGCACCCAGTGGGCAGCTCTGGCTGCACCCAAAGGGGCAGGTGATGGCCCCCAGCCCTGCTCCTGGGGGTCCCGGTGCCGAGGGATCGTTCTTCTCTCTCCAACTCAACCCCTTTTTATTTATTCTCTCTCCAAATCAAACCCTTTTGCCCAGGCTTGTGGGTCCTGCTGCCTTTCCCTGGACCTTGTTGGGCGCCTTCTCCTCGTGTGCCTTTTCCAGGACGGTGGATGCCTCTCCCTGCCCGTCCGACGCAGCTCGGAAACCTCGGGCAGTGCCCCCGCCCGCTCCCGGCAGCCGCTCCGGAGGTGGGAGATGGAAGTGAATTAGGGACAGGGCGAAACGAAACATCGCTTCGTGCGTTTTTAATGGTGAAAAAATTAAATATGTAGAGGCCGTGTGGCTCCAGCGGAGCAGCGCAGCCAAAAGCCATGAATGTTTGATGGCCAGAGCTGCGGGAGCAGCCGGATTTGGGAAGAGCCGTGACAGGGGAGATGGAGCCCAGCCCGAGGGGCTGCCAGGGCCGGCGGGGAGCGCAGAGCCCGGGGCACCGCTGGCCCTTGGGTCCTGCGGAACGCAGCGATCTCAGCCCCCAAGGGCAGGAGTGGGGTGCGTGTCCCTGCTCCCCACCCCAGCACGTCCCCAGCCCTGCCCAGCGAACCGAGGTGATGCCTGGGGGTGCTCAGCACCTCCCCAGACCTGCCCCGGGGCAGCTTTGCTCGGGTTGGTTCCAGGGCACGGGGGCTCCTCTGGCTCCGAGTTCAACACCCCCTCCAGCCCCAGGGGCTTCAACGTGGGGTTGGGCGCTCTCTGGGAGCACAGCGGGGTCACAGCCCCCAGGAACGTGCTGACAAGGATGCACTTGTTATCATTATTGTTATCATTATCGTTATCAATATCGTCATTATCGTTATCAATATCGTCATTATCGTCATCAGTATCGTTGTCATTGCAGCAGCAGCCCCGTGTCACGAGGGCAATAAAACCTCTCTGTCAGTGTCTCGTGGCTGCTCCTCAGGCACCGGGCCCAGGTTTGTGCCTGCATTGATTTGCGTCACCAATCACACCCAGGAACAAAGAGGAGAGGCCAAATCCTGGTGGATCCGGGGTGGGAAGGGCTCGTTGGGCTTGGACAGAGGCTGCTGTGGGAGTGATGGGCTGTGCCCACTGCCAGGTGACTGCAGGGCGCTTGGCAGCCAAAACAGGTGCTGTGCCAACACCAGCAGAGTCACCGGGGACCAGGGGGATGGGGATGAGGGGGACAGGGACATCAGCATGGGCAGGGGAAGGGCAGTGACTGCCATCTGGAGATGGGCAGGGAACGGGGATGGAGCGGAGGATCTGGAGAAGGAAACTGGCAGCTGCCTCAAGGGAAGGAAAGGCCTGAGCCAGGGATGAGAGGCATGGCTCTGTGGGTGTGAACATGTGCACCCTGTACACACAGATCT